CAAGGTGACCATGTGGTTAATTACCCTTTGACCCTTAGGGCCAGGGCCTCCATCTGGGCAGGAAACATCCATGGCTCTGGAAGTTTCAGGCCTCTTGGCATTTAGTTGTCACTGTCAATTCCCCCCTGCTCTGCTCCCCCCGCCGCCATCTCCCTGCAGGGTTCCTGCCTTCTGTGTGCCACAAAGCCACTTGCAGAGGTTCACTGGAGCCACTGCCACTGTTGGACACTTGCCAACTCAACTTCCACCCAGTTCTCTCCTCCACTAAGCAGCCTCCTCTCCGCTTTCCAGGTGACTGCTAAGGACTTCAGTTACAAAGATGTTCACTGGAACATTTGTAGACGAAAAGGCTCAGTCTGCAAGGCATGGTATTCTGGGGGCCTCCAAGACCTGCCCTGATCTCTGCCACTGTAGCTCAGTCTCGAAGGAGCAATGCCACATGTGCAGCAGGAGCTGAACGGAGACACAAATGCTCTGAGTGAGGCACAGGCGGGGGTGGAGGGGGGCATGGAATAGACCAGGACTTCCCAGCTGAGCTCTGCACCACGCGCAAGGGTTGGAAATGCAGAGATGGGAGGGAAGGACATGCCAGGTGTATGGAATAGGGACAAATCCACGAGGGCGGAAAGACCAGGGTTTGTGTCAAACCCAGTGGTTCAGGGAGGCTGGGGACAGAGTCTATGAAGGGAGGAGGGATGCGCAGTTATTTAATATCCCCTATGAAACATGCAATTGGGTCCCAGCTAAAAAGCAGAGGGTTTTCATGGCAATTGTGGTAGCCCATTTTGAGAGCTGGGGATGGGGTCTGGCGTGCTCTCCTGAGGCTGGAGACAAGTCTCACCCTGGTGAGAGAAGCTGCAGTTCTAAGCTCCCATGCCCACCTTGCCCTCCCCCCTCTGCAGTGTTTCTCCCTCAATCCCAGTGATTTTGGCTGAACAATATTCACACCCCAGAATGTCCCTTCACTCTCATTCACTAGTTTTGCTCTCATCTTCAAAATGCTTGGAACACTGGCGATGTTGCCAAGGGCATCAGACGGTGCTGCGCTGTCCATGAAAATGATCTTCTTTCTTCATCAAAGGCATTCAGGAGTAGGGACATTTATACATTTTTGATGCCACAGAAAACACATGAATATTGAGCTGTTAAGGCTGGGTGTGGAGTACTCTATTATGTCCATACTGAGTCTTGCTCAGTGAGGAGGCTGTGTGGCCCACCTGGGGATAAGTTGATGTGGGGGTCGTGGCAGCTGTGTCTGGAAGTTCTGCCATGTGTGGCAGCTGGGACACTTCGGTCATGTTCTTCCAGCCTCCCCTGCCCACTAACCTGCAGAGAAATGCAACTCCTGTGCTTTCCCACACGGGGGAAGCGAACGTGGCTGCATGCTGGAGAGGTAAACAAATCCACACTGAGCCACCATCAAGGCTTGTGGGGTCATGGTAGGGTGACGATGGTCTCAGCCAGGGGCCACCTTCCTGACAGCATTGCTGGGGGCTGCCCGCTTTGAATGTCGGGGCTGCTGATGGCTGTGTTGTAGGAAGGATGGCCAGGGCCCAGGGCTCCTGGATCTCCTGGGCAAGCAGCTGGGGTGAGGGAGGAGGCCACAGCTGTCCCAGCGGAAGTGCACGGCAAAGCCAGGAAATTCAGGGAACAGGCAGACCTTGTATCCCAGCCAGTGAGTAGAGTGTGGGCCATGGGGTTCGGAGGCCAAGGCAGAATGCCACTGCCTCTTGGGAGCCACCCAGGTGGGAGAGCCAGGCAGCTGAGCTTGGGGTGCTGGGGGTGGGTATCCTGGGAACAAGACCTGCTTTGCCTTTGGAGTCCCCCTTCTAACCCATTCACTGGGATCTGCCTGCCCTTGGGCTGCTAGAGAAACTGCTCGTCTCCTCCTGCTCTCTCTCCCACACCCAGGAAGAGCCTGAGAGAGAAGATAAGGTGGCTCAGGTGCATCATGCACTGTGTGTACAGCATGTGGGGCCGGGAGGGAGGGTGATGGAGCAGTTCCCGGTGTGGCATCTGAAGATTTCTCTGATGAAACTTTGTGCTGTGGGCTGCGAAGTCCCCAGAGCCTCCTGGAGCAGTTTAGCTTAGCACAGACCACAAAGACAGCCATGACTCCAGTTTGAGTTGCGGCCTTAGAAACTTCTTCTGTGACCACTCTTCTTGACTCAAGTCTTGCCCAAACTTCTGTCCTGCACTGGGCAAGGCTGGTACAGGCCCCACCCCTCAGTTCATGCCTGTCTCCGATTCCACTGTTGCTAAAGGAACACCAGTCACCCCTTGCCCTTGTGCTGTCCGGCCCTGCCCCCTCCAAAGCCTGCGAGCACACAGCTTTCTCCCTGGCTGCAATCATCAGGAGACCCTCTGGAGCTAGGGGAATTAGCTCTCATGCCTGGGAAAATGAGCCAAAAGGTAAATGCCAGCCGGCCCCAGTTAAAGCCAAGTCCAAGTTCTGGGCCAGGAGAAGCAGGAATGCCTTGGAGCAGGGACTGGGCCCAGAACTGCCAGAGAGGCTGCAGAGAAATCACTCAGCAGGGTTTGCTTTTAGTAATACACAGAACAAACTCACAACTGGCCCATCCTGCATGTGAGCACTGGTTCTAGGATTTGGGACCCTTGTACCACCCTAAAATGGGATGTCCTTACAGCTATTCCTGTGGGGGTCTCCGGGAAAGAGCAAGCCCAAGCAGCCTGCCCCTTTGACCCTCTGGCAACCTCATCCCGGGGCTGAGCCAGGAGCTAAGCAGTTGACTGAGGCACAGCTTGAGGTGACCACAGACCTTCCCAGGTCAGGGTCCTTGTCTGAAATCCAGGGGGTGGTGAAGCCTGAACTAACTGGGCTCGTTCAAACAAGTTCTGGCCCAGCCGGGCACACTCTAGACACTGAATTCAAACAATAATCCCGACCAAATGCCTCCAGCCTCGTCAGCTTTTATGGTGCCTCTCCCAAAGTCTCTATTTATCCTTACCTGCTCTGAGAGCTAGGTAGGAGAAGCATCGTCTCCTCCTCACTCCTTTTTTCGGATGGAGAAACTGAGTCTCAAAGAGCTTAAGTGACTAGTCCAAGGCAGAACAGAGCCTCCGCTGCATCTGATGGGAGTGCGCCATTCTTAGGGCCTGCCTGACCATGTAAAGGGAGAAAGGAGGCAGGACCAAATCATTTTCCTATTGGAAACAGCAGGCCCAGCTGTGGGAACTGTTGCTACTACACAGTAAACCTCTGAGCCTCCCCCGTGGTCAGAGTGGTCCGAAGGCTACCAGCTGACTAAGTGGCCTGAAGGCGCCTACAGGGCCAAATGCCACCCCCAGCCCACACAGGGTCCACAAGGCAGCTCTGGAGCTCTGAGCAGTGCTTCTCGTTCCCCCACTCTAGCAAGCGCAGCATGGCTTGTACACGTGTCGTCCTTCCGTGCTGTCTGGCAGGAGCGGGAAGGTGGCCCCCTGACCAAGAGAGGCAGCTGCAAGTGTAGGAGGCCACAGAGTCCCTGCCAACACTCCAGAATGCCCATCACTTCCAACTCTGCTCATCCACAGTCAAGGCGGGCATCAAGAATGTCCCTGACCTCCCTGTTGCTGTCTCTACTGGGCAGCCCAAGAGAACTGGTTCTTGGACATGCTCTGTCTCTGCTGAACACAATGGGCCAAGGAGTGACTCCGGCAAGTGAGCCTTCAGCTGCTCCTTCCCAATGGCTACAAAGTGACATTCCAAGAAGCAAACTGCCCCCGTGTCTTGGTCAGCTCAGGCTGCCATAACAAAATACCATAGATGGGGGCTTCAACAATAGGCCTTTATTTTTCACAGTTTTGGAGGATGGAAGTCCAAAATGAAGGTTCCAGCAAGGTAGGTTTTATTCTGATACCTGTTCCCTTGGCTTGTAAGTAGCCACCATCTTGCTTTGGGCTGACATGACTTCTTCTTTGTGCACACAAGGTGAGAGAGGGGGCAAGCTCTTGGTATCTCTTCTTATAGGGGTATTAATTCCACTGGGGGAGTCCCACCCTTATGACCTCATCTAAACCCAAGCACTCCCCAAGGGCCCCACCTTTGTTTTGTTATTTTTTAAAGATTTTATTTATTTATTTGACAGAGAGAGACACAGCGAGAGAGGGAACACGAGCAGGAGGAGAGGGAGAGGGAGAAGCAGGCTTCCCGCTGAGCAGGGAGCCCGATGAGGGGCTCGATCCCAGGACTCTGGGATCATGACCTGACCCAAAGGCAGATGCTTAACAACTGAGCCACCCAGGCGCCCAAGGGCCCCACCTTCAAATACCATCACATTGTGGGGTAGGACTTCAATATATGAATTTGAGAGGGACACATTCCATCCATACCACCTTGGTAGAGATCAGGTTTCCTGAGGAATGCCAAAATCTTCCTGTGGGCATGAGGCCTCATGTGCCCCCTTCAGCTTGTCACTGGAGACTGGGGGCTTCCTTTGCCTTCTTCCAGCAATAACTCATTATCTTAAGACGGGCATGAAAGGCTTGGGATGACTTCTGATAAGGTTATCCAAGTGGCCCCCCACCTTGTCCCCTGTGCAGATAGCTGGGAAGACGCTCTGCTTGGTGTCTGGCCAGAGAACAAATCACTTTCCCTCCAGGGAGTACACCCTGGAGGAAAGCTATAGGCAGGAGAGAAGGAACATGCATGCAGAGCATCCAGGCTCACCTTGAAGGTGATATATGAGGCAGAGCATGGTCTACACGGAGTGGGTAGCCTCTAGGCCCACTGTTTTTGGCCCGGTAGACCTGTGGCTGCCCTTGGCATCAATGAAGGAGCCAGCAGGCTTCAGCTACACAGAGGGCCTGGGCACACAAGCTACTCACTCAGGAAGGCAGGAGCCATTGGTCTCTGCAACTGCGGCGGGCAGCAGAGGTGCCCATGAGGGGCCCAAGTCCAGGAAATGAGCCCTTTCTTTGCTCAAGATCCCGGTACCAGTCAACTGGGTCAGGACCATTTCTAGGTTCCAAACGTCCATCATAAGTTCACAAAGAGTTGCAATGAAAGACAATTTTTATTAAGCACTGGAGTTGTGATTATTTCAGTACAAAGCACCTATGTTGATCTGATTTCAGCTTCCCACCATTGGAATGCTGTTCCCCTGTGGTTTCCCCAACATGACTGTGGAGGAGATGCAGGGCCAAGGTTTTAGAACTCTTGTGGCTTAAGACAGAACAGCTTCTTACTAGATTGCAAACCATGCTGGAAAATGTTTCTTGGCAGGAAAACAAACAAACAAACGTATTCTAACTTGAGTAGACTCTGCAGCCTGCCAGCCCATGGTAGAACAGGTGTGTGCAAGGCCAGACAAGGTAGGTCGGGGACAACAGTCTCCTGCTGTGGCCCGGCTGCTGTCACACATTAGCACACAGGGGGTCATGGGCTGCCTCTGCAACATGGCTTCTAAGAAACAGGTTGTGCTCAGCAATCTCAAACAGAACTTATCAGGAAAGAAAGGAAATGTCCACCCCCCGCTCCCCAACCCCTATTCCAGGAAACTCTGTGAGCCTTGGAGTTCCCTGGTCACGGAGGCCTCATCGGCCTGTCTGCCCCTCTTCTCTCAAGGTCTGGTATGAAAGTGCCGCCAGCGCTGGTGCTCATCCAAGCTAGACGGCTCTGCAGACATGAAATAGCTGACATGGCCTGGTGAGTATTCGTTAGGGTCCTGGGAAGCCTCCAGACTTGCCTCAGAAGCTGGCGCCTGCCAAGAAAAACGGGGACAAGGTGAGACATTCCCTCTGGTTCGAGTCAGCAAACTGCTGAGAAACACCTCTTTGGAGCACAGACTTACAAGGCGCTGGTAGGAGGTGTAGCTAGGGACAATGAGGTTCCTCTCCACTTTTGTCTTCCAATAGCATCTTGCCTTAAAGACCAGCAAGAGTAGCCCTGGGCTCTCCCAAGGTTTTCTTCATGCCTAAGGCTACTGGGTTCTGTGTCTGGCCCTCCCTGGCCCAGCTTCTCTGCCAGCCATAGGTAGCCAAAGGCTTGGAAGCTCTCTCCCTGCCCCTACCCTTGCACCTTGCTATTACTCTGCTCAAACTAAGTAACTTCCACGCTGAGCCTTGATGGGCAGCTACCTGGCCTACGTGAACAATGTGATGGGAAAGGTCACAACGACCCACTCTGAGCTGTGGAGTGGGGAGGAGGGGCAGACACATAGGTGGTATTACGAAGACTAGGCTGGGGGAGTCTTTTCTCTTTGAGACGAAAGGACTCTGTGGGCTGCGTTCCGAAGGTGATGCAAGAATTCGGTAAGTGGAACCCAAGGGATGGGAGAGAAGACAGAGGAACGGAAGAAGCAGGGCTGGGTTCTGGGAAGAAAGCCGGATGTGTCTGGGAACCCAGGGAGCAGTGGAAATGAGTCAGGGCAGGGTGTGGGGAGCCCCCGAAGTCTTGTGGACAAGGAAGCCCCCACATGATCCTGCACCTGGCTGCCCCACTGCACTCTCCCAACAACCTTCCAGGCATCCTCGGCTTGGTCTTGGCTCTGCTTCTAAGGGCCCAACCAGATGGTAGTGCCTTGAGAGCAGACATGATGAAGAGTTTCACCAGAGGAGTCTGCCTTGGGAACTGAACCACGGGATCCACTGAGCATCTACGTGGTCTCTTTGCATGGGCAGTCCCTCTCATGGATCAGCTTTCTGGAGGATTGGTCCAGTCCAGCTGGTCAAGGTGTGTATGTGAAAATAATCACACCTTTAAGCCATTTAAAATATCCAAACTCACTCATTCTGCCTTAGCTTACTGGGTTCTTTTTTCCTTGTTGTTGTTAGTTTTAAAAAATCGGAGGTTAGGCTCCATGAAGATTTCTAAAGCCAGAATCAAAACACCCTTTGTAAGTACTGTTAGTCAGATTGAGAGTGTGTGGTCCCAAGGGGCTCGCTGGGAGTATATCTGGGAGCAAAACCCAATATGTGCCTGCCCTCTGGACCAGCTGCCAACACTGCCCTGGAAACATGACCATTACAGATGGTCCCTGAGGTGGGGTCCGCCCTGGCAAACATGGAGCACCCTGTGGATGAACACCAAGCACGTTCCATAGAAGGACCCTTGGTTTATTTTTTAGCACAAGGAAACACACCCACACTAGGCTCTGGATTTTGTAGCAGAACGAATGATCCACAAGTTCAGACAGGGGCCTGGGCTCGGGCAATGAGCTCAGCATATGGCCTGACTCACTTTGTCCAGGTAACATACGCTTGAGAAGTTTTCACATCAGATTGCATTTAATATCCATGAGGACAGCTCACTTTTTCATGGAAACTTGAAAGGAATCTTTTTACTCAGCAGAGTGTGTGCCACCACACACATACGAGTAACCACCCTCAAATTTACTGAGCTTCGAAGTCTGGATTTCACACCCAGAGCGTACTCCTGTAGTGTGTGCCTTTGCGGGAAGGGGCCCAGCCTCCATGCAGAACGCCCTGACCTGGCCTGGGGGGGGGGGGGGGGGGGGGGGGCAGAGGAGAAAGGAATGGTCATACCTGGGGCTGGGTGGCTTGGTCCTGCAGAGTGTTCTGCTCACTGGAAGGCCAAGTATTCACTTGGAGGTAAAGGTGATACTGTGGATCTCGTGGCTGTTTCAAAAGTTGGATGTAATCCTGCGGGGTGTCCAGGGTGACGAGGCTAGAGTCAGAATTTATGGGAGACTGAGGAAAGCTGATCGAAGTGACTATGTCAGAGCCTGGGCTACACACCAGTGGCAATGGATCCATAGACACCCCCCGCTCCTCCTCAGAAACAAAACTGAAAGAAACATGTTACAGTGACACGGATCTGGGAACCGTGACCCAGGAGTCATTGCCTTGTTCATCGGTAGGTGCCTGCGGCATGACTGGTGGTGGCGGCTAAATCGGGAGATTCCATTTGCTGGAGTCAAGTGAATGTAAAGATTGAGGTGAATCAGTCTTTTGTCTCGAGTGGTTTTATTTGTACTACTTGGACAGTCCTCAATCTGCTACGATGGTGATCTCCGTGGTCTCGGGCCAGTCACTTTACCCACCCAAAATCAGGGACGCGCCCTTTGTCGCTAAAGGAGCTAACAGCAGAGTGGGGCTGGCTGGGCCAGCTCCTCCCTGCAAATCCAGTGCTCTCTCTACAAGAGCCCCATTTATCCCGGGTAAGTAGGGACTTCTGAATGTGTACTTTCCACAACCTCCTCAAGTGCATTCTGATGATCAGGCCGGCAGGAAACACGGCACTAACCCACCCAGCAGACGTATCAGGGTCACTGATCCTACAAGGGGGCCCAGAAGGAAATCTGGAGAGCTCTGGGAGGCCCGCTCCGAGAGCCGGCCTTCACTCAAAAATATTCCCTGGGCACCAAGCATGTGCTCCACAGCCCCTTTGGGGCTGAGCAGAGCCTTCTCTTTCTGGCATTTGGGACCACAGACTTTATCACTGAGCAGAAAATGTGTTCATGTTCCCATACTGCCTCCCAGAACATAGTGCTTCTGGGAGCTTAACTCTTTGGTATCCAACGGCCATTTCACACCCACTTCCCTCACATAGATTGTCAATGCTATGGAGACCCCTTGCTCTGGTCTGCTGTGATCACCAGATCGCAGTGGAGTGGGAGAAGAAAGCTGGGAGCCCAGGAGTCATCCCGCTATGGGCACTTAAGACTTTGCTATAGACACCCGGCGCCATGAGACTGGGCTTGGGTGGACGGAGCCAAGCGATTTCAAGATCCGCATGCCAATTCCCTAGCTCGGGAGCTTCCTTATCTAGGCCTCCTATTTTCACAGAGTCTCCTCCATTCCATCAATACATGCTTGGCCACACACTGTGCCTGCAGAGGCGGGGGGAGGGGGCGGGCAGAGCAAGATGAGTGGGAGCACATTGGTTTTGATGAGGGGTTTGGTGCCCTGTGGACAAGTCACTCAGGGTCGCGGGTACACTGTCTGGCCATAAGGGGAAAGCAGGGACCTCAGCCCTTATCACCATTCCATGAGCTTCTTACCTAGGACGGTCATCTTTGTTGTCCCCCAGGGTTTCATCTTGATAGTAGCCAGAGGCATGTTGTCCAGCTACTAACTGGACAGGAACAGCGATGGGCTGGGTGGGCTGGGTCTGCATGAACGTCCCAGGGTCCTCACAGAGGGGCACAGCTACGGTGGCCCGGCCCAGCAGGCATATCGGCAGCGCCTGGCTTCCCGCTGCGGCATTAGGTGGCTGTGGCCACTTCCGTGTCTGCAGCTCCCGCAGGAGAGGCTGCCCCACGTGCTGGTCCTGCACCTGCAGCAACGCCTGCGGCAGGAACGGGTCCTCCCCCTGCAGCAGTGGCTTCAGAAGGAGAGACAAGAGGACCTCAGTGCCCGCAAGAGTCCCCCAGAACCGGACTGAACACCCCTGCTCCATTCTCCCAGAGCAGAAGATGACAGTGGCCCTGCGCCTCCAGGCGTGGTCTGGGTGATGTCTACGTGTTGATCGGGGCACGAGTCGCAGCCCGGCTCCTGGCTGCAATCCAGAACACACATGCGAACACACACTCCTGGGCACGAGCATCTGGGTCTAGCTTGCCAAGCATTTTTCTCTCAGGCAAGTGAATTGCAGCCAACTGAATAGCCACCACCCCCTCAGGAGAACCGGGTGGGCCCCAAGGTTTATGAAAATGAAATCTTTCAGCTCCCCGGTTGAAACAGGCTTTCCATACCTGGCTGGAGACATCACAAGGCTCCTCAAACTCCTCAGAGAATTTGAAAGAGAGCGATGAACATGAACCACTGGAGAGGTTGATCTCCGGGAGGTCTGAGAGGGACTCCTTCATTTGCTCAGTGCGTTGTTTCTTGGGCACTGGCTCCAATGACTGGGACTCAGGACGGTCGAGGTGGTGTGAGACGCGTGGCTGCATCTGGAAAGACACAGTATCACAGAGGTCTTATTCAGAGGCCGCGCCTTTCCTCAGGGCACAAGACATGCTGGGCATGGAGCGGGACAGGCCGCCCGCTATACAGGAGTCCCATCTGCCACTGCCAGAGCCTAGCTGGGCCCACCTCAGCCACCACAGCCAGCAGACAAAGAGCACAGCCCTAAGTCCCCACTGAAGACCGCTCCAAATGTCCCTCCTAGCAGGCCCTGGTGACTAACTGCTTGAAAACTATCAAGGTCCCTTTTCTCCTCTCCCTTCTGCCACTGACTTACGTGGAACTGGCCTCTGACCTGAAAGCTGGAATCCTGCATTCTCTGAAGCTGTTCCTTCATCATTTCCAGTGCGTCCTGCTGGCTTCTGATGTTAGCCTGCATCATCTGCGTCTTCTCTTCCAGTTGCTCCTTAAACTTTTTCATCAGCTCCAGCTCCCGCTTGCGGATGTATGATGTAATCAAGGGCGGTGGTTGTGGCTGGGGAGAGGAATGGCTTGTGGTTCATAGATAGGGACACCAGGTTCTCCAAATCCTACCAGACTGTCTTATGGCCAAGTTTGGAAAGACTGAGAAATGAGAATCATTCCTCCACTCCCAATTTCACTCATCACTAGAATGTCTGAAGCAATGGCTAGAAAATCCAGGAATTCAAGATCAGAAATGGATCATGGGAATCATGCAGTCTGATTTTGTCCTCAAAACATAAAGCTGTGGAATTGGCCCCAAAGTGTGAAGCGACCTGCCCCAAATCCTTAGTGGAAGAGTCAAAGTGCAGCGGGTCATATCACAGACAAGGCATGTGGGAAGCATCTATCAGATGCCCCCATTAGCAAGGCAGTAAGAAGAAGAATGCTCAAATGACACTTCCTTTGTTCCAGGCACTCTTCTAAGCACTGCAAAGAGATTCACAGATCTGACCTTCACAATGTCCTCAAAAATAAGTACTGTCCCATACACAGTTTTCGTAGGGATGAGAGTGGCCTGAAACAGACCAGAGGCAGGAGACACAGAAAGGAAGGGACACATTTGAGAGAAATTAAGAAAGTAAACACGGCTTCTCAACTGAACGGCTGAGGGCGGAGGAAAGAGGCAGGGTTCTTGGAAAAGAACTATCTGCGGAAGCTATTCTTCGCCTTGATCTGGGTTGGCACTGTGTGTATCAACAAGATGAGAGAGCCACAGTCCCAGTATTAACGATGAGAAGGCACATATACATACGACTGCTAGAGAACAAAAACAAGAGTCTATTCTATCATATACTGTGGCCTTCAACCCTTTATGGCTAATGGAACTGCAGAGCTGAGTTATTAAAAAGAGAGAGAGCAAAAAACATGCAAGCTGTTTTTCACACTTGGAATAAAAAATTATATATATATTTTTAAGCCACTGAAAATTGTCCAATTGTCCTTCTTTTGCTATAAAGTATACAGATGTTCCTATAAGAAGGTAGGCACTCATTAAGCCAAAAAAAAAAAAAAAAAACCAAAAGAAAAAAATAAAAGCTCTAAACTCGGGACTGAAAGCCACAAACCCTACAGGTTATCACATCCACATCCCCATTCTCCAAGCAGGGATCTTTTCTCTGCCGTCCCTGGCAGATGAGCTACCAAGCCTGCCTCAGACCTTTCCGTTGGAGGGGAGGAAGCCCACCACCTAAAGAAGGGACCTAAGCCATCAGAGCAAGGCTTTCTTGCGGGGAGTGGAAAGCTGCCTGCCCTCAGCTGCTAGGTTTCCTCCCTAGTTCGATCCACTGGAGGCTCGTCTTCCACTCCGGGAGCATGGCGGCTGTGCAGCTACTTGGAGAAGGCTGTCCTGTCCCTTGCCAGTCTCCCTTCTCCAGTGCCTTCCACTGTGACTACCTTCCACTACTGACAACATGACATTTCCCAGCCTCTCTCCATCCTGGTCTCCAGCTTCTGGATACACTCCAGTCTGTCAATCCATGGCAGTCAAAAATAAGCCCAATATGCTACCACACTTATTGCTGGTTATTCTATTCTATTTTTTATTTTTTTTAAGATTTTATTTATTTATTTGAGAGAGAGCGAGAGAGAGCATGAGCAGGGAGGAGAGGGAGAAGCAGGCTCCCGGCGAGCAGGAAGCCCAATGTGGGGCTCGATCCCAGGACCCTGAGATCATGACCTGTGCCAAAGGCAGACGCTTAACGACTGAGCCACCCAGGCGCCCCTATTCTGACTATTTTAAACAAAAGTTTTATTTAAAGTTTAGTTATGACTTCATTCCAAGCAGAAGAGAAGCTTGTCAACGTTAAAGGGGAACCACAGCTTTTTGGCATAATAAAGACATAACTAAGAACAACATGGATTTCTACAGAATTTTTTTTTTAATTGTTCAAAAAATTTTCACAGCAGTCTAGAAATCCCCACAAGGCAGGCAGTCCAATTCAAGATGGAGAAACTGAGACTCAGGGATGTGCCAAGGTCAATGCCGGGGCCAAACTCAAACAACTGTCTTCTAGCCCTCAGTTCTTCTCAGAAGAGGGAGTGACTCATCTTAGGCTTTGTAATTAATGAGCACGATTCCACGTAACAGACCATAAACTCATTATCTTGCCTGCCAATCCTGATTTTAATAATCCTGCTATTATAAAAGATGATTGCCCAAATCTGTGATTATGTACACAAATTTGAGGATAGAAGAGCAACAGAGTAGTAAATCCAACTGCACTGATTTGGCCTCGGACCATACACCGGTGCTGCCATTTGAAGGTTGGATACAATTAACATTCTGAAAGGCATGCTTCTATCTAATAAACATTCCATTTGGAGAAACCTAGCTCGTGGTGGGGAGGTGTTGGTGTGGTAGGCAGGAGAGTCATCTTCCCCTGAGATGGTTAGCATCCCCTCCCAGGTGATAAGGAACACAGCTCTTAAAAAATACTGCTTTTCCTTAGTAGATAAGCTTCCTATTTGGCCCAAACTTCCTCTCCAACCCAAAATGTCTTTGCATATTTTACATTAAGAGGAGAACCGAGATTTCGTCTTACTTAAAGAACCTCCAACCTCCCTGTTTGCTAGGGTCCACTGGATTCTCAGCTGCATCTGAAAATCCAGTATGACAGAAATAGTGATAAAAATAGGATGCTTTCTGCAAAGTGAACCTGAACACAAGAGTGGAAATTCAGGCCTTTGCAGGGTTAGTGGTCCAGACAAATATGTGGAGCAAGACTCCCAGAGGTACCTCATCACTGATGCCAGCAGCCGCATTGGAAGGTGAGCGGGCCTCCTCCTCTACTTCCTCCACCTGCTCCACCTGCTCCACCTCGTCCTCTTCATCTCTTTGTTCCACCTTGCCCATCTCGCCCATCTGGTCTACCTCTTCCATCTCATCCATTTGTTGCACTTCATCCACATCATACACCTGCTCCCCGTCCAGTTTGAAATCAAAGCTCTGCGAAGATGATGTAGCTGAAGAAAGCACAGTGGAATGCATGACCAAGAAGGCAGAAGTACCAACATTATCAAAGAGATTTGCAGATTTCTCTTTATTTCCTTTTGAAGTCACAAAAACAGGAGCGTCCAGTTTTATTCCATGTTAAGGATTAGATATGCCAGGTACCAAGAGTAATTCAGAACATTCCTTAAAATTGTGTTTATGTTTGAAAATAAAGAAAAAGGAAGGAGTGTCTGACTTTACCTCCACCCACCCAAGCACAAGTGGGTAGGTACCCAAACCATTCGTGTTGAGTGTTTTTTTATTATAAAATTCTTCTGGCCGTGCTTCTGGAAATTTGGTACCTTCCAACTGATAATACCAAATCAAACCTAATCATAAATCACTTCCAAAAAAGTAGGTTCCCCAGAATGTGGGGATCTCTGGAGTGCTTAAAGTGCTGGTGGAGGTGTTGAGAAATGACTCTCCTTCAAAAAAAGCAACGTGGAGAACATTATTTGAAGAACGCAAAAGGGCAGAGTCATTTTGGAAAACAGTTTGGCAGTTTCTTTCACACACGCTTCCCATATGACCCAGTTGTCCCGCTCCCAGGAATTTAAACCAAGTCAATTAAACGTTTGTACCCACATAAAAAAACCTCTATGCAAATGGTTATAGCAGCTTTATATATAATCCCTGAAAAAAACACCGAAACAACCCAGATGTCCTTCTGCAGATCAATTGGTTTTTAAGCAAATAACTGGTACATGCATAAGGTGCAGTACTACTAAGCAAGGAAAGAGGACTGAACCGCTGATTCACACAACATGGATGAATCTTGAATGCATTTTGTTAACGACAAGCCAGACCAAAAAATGAGAGACTATGTGATTCCACTTACATGACATTCTGGAAAAAGGAAACCAGAGACGGAATACAGACCAATGGTTGCCAGAGGATGAGGGACAGAGTTGGAGTTCAAAGAGACAACACAAAGGAATCTGGGGATGACAGAATTGTTCTGCCTGGTACTGTGGTGGCAGATACAGGACTCTTTGCCTTTGTCAAACCCACAGAAATGTACATCCCAAGGAGTGAAGTTTACTGTGTGCAAATTCAAAATTAAGTTTGTTCTTCTATGTTTCAGAAATCACAATCATGGGTTCATGGATTCCCCCTCCCCAAATCAATTGTTTTGAAAAGATTTTTTAAACAAAGTTTGAGACTGACAACAATAATGTAAGAGTTGTTAGCTAGAATATTAAAAAAAAATAGAGGTATTAGTTCCATATATGAAGATTCCACAATACAAAGACTCTATGCTAAGGTCAGCGAATCAGAGGACAGGGTCTGCATTACGCATCCGGCACCGCTTCAAGTTTTGTGTTTTTTATACAATTATATTTATGACATGTCCTTAATATTGAAGATCATGTAATAAGTACCACTGTTTCTGAGATACTACCCTTTTTGGCCTTTACCAAAAATTCTTCTTATAGTACGGTTCTTTTAAAGACAAGGGGTTTCTTTGGACTGCAACCACTATGGCACAGCAGTGAAGACTGCATGAGGACAAAGAGATAAGAGGCTACTCCTCCAAGGGCTGAGATCTAGCACCAATCTTTAGAAGATTAAATTTTAATGGGACAGAATAATACCATTCCGAAGCACTTGAACCATTGATGAGATATTTACTTTCCTCGCTCTCAAATCATCTCAAAAAACTTACAGAGGATGAAGAAAGTTCACTCTTGTGATTTCACACCATTATGAACAGAACATTCTCATCCTCTGAAAAAACAAGAACTACCCTGTGGGCCACCGTTTTTCTTCCGACAATCCCTAACCACATGTCCACATGTACCTACCTGGCGATGCTGGTGAGCTTTCCAGGGACGATGTGCTGGAATCATAAGATATATCAGACTCTATCCCATTTACATGAACAGATTCTTGGGGGCCATACGGCTCGACCGTTAGAATATCAGCTTGATCCTGGGAATTTCCAAAAGAGGAGAAGATGACATTTCAATTTGGAGACAGATATATAAACAACAGGAAACACGGGCAGAACACAAACTTGGATGCATGTCACATCACAATTCCCAACACTGCTTCTATCAACTGAAAACCTAAACAAAACCATCATGAAACATGTCCTTGAAAAATATTACTGGAAGGTAATAACAAGCAGAGATTATGGGTGCCACATGCTATACTCTGGCAAAACTGAGAAAATAAACACAATACAGATGCGCTGATAGCATAAGCATAAGAAAATTGTGTGCCACTCAAAGGCCGTGGCACCAAAAAAAAAAAAAAAATACACGCCTTTCCCAGGTGTTGGTAAGATGCTGACCCGGCCGTGGGAGAAGGGCACCGCCACCAGAGGGCCTGCACATGCAGCCCGCGCCGAGAGCAAGGAAAGGCCAGATGGAGGCTGCTTAATGGCCACTTCATGTCTTCAATGCAGGTTAAAGTTGGAAGTATTATTACCAAAAACATCTTTACTATAGTAGCACAGAGATGGAAATGGCCCTGGAGAGCTTCTAGTGCAATCTCCCCCTTTGATAGTGTCAAAGAAGACAAGGTCACACAGCAGTGCAGGAGCAGAGCGAGAGAGAGTCCAAGGACTTCAAACCCAGCGCTCTCTTCCCTAACCCCGGTGCCTCAACTGAAGCCACCTGCTGCTTTAAATTGTACACATCATATTGTGAGTTTAGTGATCCACTTCTACTTCCTTAACGACTGGATCCCTTTTGAAAAGTCTGCAGCTCCCTGCTCATATGAAATATAAGTACCTGGTTTAGCACTGGAATCTTTTACATCTCTGCTAAAAATTTTAGTGCTTGGGCTGTGTTTTGTTTTGTTTTGTTTTGTTTTCAGACTGGATTAAGACACAGACCCATGCCAATTTTTCTACAAGGAACCTGTTTGTCGGAACACACTGGCCCAGATCAAATCCCAGCATTTTAACTTCAGGAAACTGCACAACCTCCCTGTTCAAGTGCACTGTGTTTTGTACTCCTGAAAATAAGCGGTATGTTGCTGGGGATGTGCCAATCTTTTCATTATTGAGAAAGATATTCCTTCTGCTTTTTATCATAGTCATATATCAACTTAATCTATAGCTCCTTGCTTCCTGGATGAGTTTCGATAGAAACGTGTATACTCGGGTATTGAATAAGATGTCCATTTTTGTGTGTTCATATATTTTATTTAGCCTATCAACATAAATTCACTAAGCTTAAATAAACTTAAAATGACAGAATCATGTGTGCCAATGGTAACTGGCTTGGAACAAAAACAAAGCGAAGAAACTATTTCAGAAGCAAAAAGATACCAGTGAAGGGGAGCAGATTTACAACCTGGAAACTCGCTATGTAGTAAAAGCTGTGGCAACTGTAGGGCTCATCTGATTGTTTCCCATCTCTTAAGAGTCCCTGGTCCCTTGTTGCCCTATGACCAACCGTTTTCTTGAAAACTATTATTTCATACATTTTGTCGTCAGGGGCAGGAAAGTTAAATCTGGTCCTAGTCACTCCACCTTGATTAGAAGCAGAAATTTCTCAATTCCATGAAATATTATACAGTTACTGAAATGATTAAAATTGGTAGACTGAGACAGAATGGGAAGAAGCAAAATTAAATAGCAATTGCGCCATAGTGGTGGGACTATGGGTGTCTTTAAAAAAAAGTTCCTTTACATGTTATAATTACTTAGGTTTTATACGTTTATGAAGTGAGAATTTCTAAGTCCCGCTTTCCTCAAGACACACTAAATTGAAGGACTCTGGATTGTTCACACATTACACACTACAGATCCTAAGTGACTATTTGTTGACTGATGAAGTCAGGCTGTCAGCAGCATAGATGCTAGACTGATGGCCAGAGTTCTATGGATGTCTTGGCCTCTTTTCCTAGCATAACTGCAATTAGTTTGTGTGTAAACAGAACACTGCTCTGTTTAAATTAGCCTTTTTCTACCTAATTTCATCCATTTCATACTTTCTTGAACAGAATGTTAGGCTAAGCAGATGTACTGTCTTCAGGAAGTTTCATCTACAAACAAGTAGCTTGTTACCCTTGAAGTTTCTTCTGACTGGTCTAAGAAGTAAATTTACATCAGACAGATTAACAGGAGAAAATCAAACATGGATACCTCCTGTATCATGGGAGAGATCCAGGAAATCTAAGAGACTCCCCAAGGTGGCCGAAGCCATCACCTTAAATACCATCTCCAGCTAAAGACAGAAGAAGATACTGGGACTGGGGGAGTCAGTTATGGGAGGTGGCAAGGAGAAGCGGATTAATAAGGGTAAGTCTTCCTCCTCTTTCTGACACAGAGAGGGAGACACCCTTAACAAAGGGAGATTGCCCTTATAAATTTAAATGTCTCTCACAAAAGTTTAACTTCTACTCAGTCTTTTGAGCTTCTCCTGTGTTTGCACTTTCTTAAAAATATTCAGCTTAAAATAATCTTTACTCCAGAGACATATTTTAGGGTGGTAAATTCTGCTCCCCTACAATGAGCAATAGTTGGAAAATGCAATACAAAATCAGCACTTTGTATTTAAAACATAGGTGTATCTCTTATGTTAGAGGAGAGCTTAAATAGTATAAACCCCTGCTGTCTGCACAGGCCCAGAAACACGCAAATCCTTTCAGACAAAATCACATGCAGGCCTGAAAACCAAAGTGCGAGTCCACCCACCTAGCCTATCTATACTGTTCTTGGGATCTCTCATCTTACATTTGAAGAGTGCTATAAAAATAACACAGTGTTGTAACATACAATAGTCCTCTGTGCATCTAATATTTATGAGCACCTAATGTGTGTGGCAAACCTTGTCCAAGATATTTGGGGATAGGCCGATGAACAAGACAGCCCCTGTCCTCACAGAAGCTTTGTTCTATTGCAGGGACACAGAAAATGCACCGATAAATGAGGTTACATCCAGATGAGAGAGCCTGGCAGATGACCACTCCCCTTTTACCGACGGGAAACAGAGGCTCTCCATCAGCAAATAACTTTTCCTAGGTCACAAAACTGGTAAATGGCCGAATCAGGAATTGACCCTTATCTTTTGACGTCTAGGGCCATCTTTCTCTCTGCAGGACCACCACCACGGCAGCTGGGTCACAGGCACCCAGGGAGTGGCAGGTAAGGTGGAACACCATCCACAGGGAAGGCTTTCTGGGAGGCTTTTTCTGTTCTATGCCTTTCTTCTTGCACTTTGATCTTCTTTCCCAGACTGGAGTTTCAGATCGCTGAACGCAGATCCAGATTTCATATTTCTATTAATGTGCATCCCTCTAAGATTCTCTCTAGTGATGTCTGGTGAATGGATAAATTGATGATACATTCAGTGGCTTAGGAAAAGGATGGGGACAATCTAGGCTAATTAGGGGCTGGGTTCTGCCCATGAAGGGATGGTGCCAGCTCATGAGTCTACCCCACATTAGCCTACTGTAGCAGGCATATCAATAAACTTTCTTTTTGAAATGTACTCACAAGTCAAAAGATCTTGAACAATGGCATAGAGCTCAGCTTAATTTTTAAAAACGTGCTACAAGGACAATTCCAAGTGCTGGGGGCCAAGAGCAGGCTGCCCCAAGATAGGCCACTTTGGCATGAAGATTATTTTGAGTTAAAAAAGCAATCAAAACCCAGCAGATTCAGGAAAAACTCTTTGCCTGCCCAACAACTGCCTAAAAGAATTTAGATCGAGGCCCTGCTCCAGGAAGAGAGCCATCACCATATACCATTATACCATGAACTAGGGATGGTGGACAGGGAGGAACTTAGCAATGCCTGTTTGATCAAAGTCCTGTGTCCCATTGTTTCTGAGTGGCCCCGCAAACATTTGTTTACCAAACATTTACTCTTTCTCATTCTTCTTGAGGATTGCGTTCCTTCCCTTTGAAATCCCAGACCCCTACCTCCCTTTCCCTCGTTCAGAATGACATACATACCTCATTCTGCTTGACTTCTTTAAAATTTCCATGCCTGTGTGGGTTCCCTCCATGTATGCTATTAAATTTGATTTTCTCCCATTAATCTGTCTCATGTCGATTTGATTCTTAGTCAGGCTAGAAGGACCTTGAAAGGGTCAGGACATTTTTGCTCCCCAACACAAGCATGGCTGTTGCCCGCTCCCAATAAGAAATGGTTACAAAATGGCAGCTGTGGAACACAGCTCAAGTGCTATGCCCAGATGGGATACTTCTCCAGATTAAAACCTTTTTCTGTTGGCAACACACGTTAACTGAAGTTTAAACGGATGGATCCATCCGTTTACCCTATGACTCTCTTATGTACATACATCTGAGGCAGCATCAGCAGATTCAGGATGCAGCAATTCCATTCTAGAAAATTTTCTCTGGTCCTGGCTTCTATAAAGAGATGAAAAGAGAAATGGTAAGCTCATCTCACTTGCCATTTAAATCTAAATTTTCTATTGTACAGTAAAAATAAGGTTTAAATAAGAACAAATATTTGAGGGGTGCCTGGGTGGCTCAGTCATTAAGCGTCTGTCTTCAGCTCAGGTCATGATCCCGGGGTCCTGGGATCGAGCCCCACGTCGCCAGGCGCTGCTTCTCCCTCTCCTCCCTGCTTATGCTCTCTGTCACTATCTCTGTCTCTCTCTCTCTCAGATAAATAAAATCTTTAAAAAAAACAAATATTTATTTTTCTTAATACATCACATCAATCTTGGAGGTGCTGCTATTCTGACAGAGAAAGTTGTTCTACACCATGTCTATAAAGTAAATCATCTGGACCCTCATTAGAATGAAGTTTGCCACAGGTCTCAATGCCTCTGGTTAAAAGTGGTGAGCAGAGCAAGCTTAAAAAAAAAAAAACAAAAAAAAAACCAAGGCATATGAGTGAATCTTCTTAATTTTTAAACCAACTGCATTTACAAAAAAAAAAAAAATGCCTTCAGGCCAAATTTAATTTTGTTTCCTGTTATTAGAAAAACTCTCTATTCTTTGGCTCATTAACAATTCATTTCTATCAAAATTAGAATTTTGTTGCCCAAGGTGAGAACCCAGCTTCCTGGCTCTGGAGTCTAAGTACTAGCTTCTTCTTTTCACCAAATGAGTGGAAGGTGAGAGAGAACTTGGGGGGAGAGAATATGAATGAATGAGAATCTTGGTTTTAATACTGGAATTACTTTTTAAGCCTTAAAATATTCCTGAAGATCTGTTATGGAAATGTATTTTGTTTTCAGGAGTTTTTCTTTTGCAGGCCAAGGCCAAACAGTGAAAAGCCCCCTCACTCCACAAAATGAGAAACTGGAGTCTCATAACAGATATGATAAAAAGCAAGTCCTTAGAACTGCAACACAGTGACAAAATGGTATCTGTGAAACCCTCCCAATTCATTCAGAAAACACAAAACAGAATAACTGGATTACTCTGAAAGGTTTCAAAAAGTCAATACTGATATGATCGTGAGAAATTTTCCATTCGATATTTCACAGGACCCAGCCAAAACATCAATTTTACTTACATCATTTTTTAAAGATTTATTTATTTGGGAGGGGGGGGTGGGGGCAGAGAGGGAGAGAATTTCAAGCACACTCCCCACGGCCCTGGGACCTGATGTAGGGCTCAATCTCATGATGCCAAGATCATGACCCAAGCCAAAATCGTGAGACTGAGCCACCCAGGTGCCCCTTACATCATTTATTTTTAATGGTAGAAAACCAAGAAGGCTTTGAAAAAATATATTTTGGTTATCAAAATATATAACATTTAGGAAGTAGTGATTTAAATTGCATAAAACAACTACTTAATGAGTAAATTCAGTCATTTGTGTATATGATGGGGCTATAAAATGTCTACTACGTATTTCTTAATGGTTCAACTTTCAGCATCAAATAACATAAACAGCGTTACTTACAAATTTGCCCTGACATCATTTAAAAATAAAATTCCTGAAAGATTATCATCTATATTTTTAATTTTTTTCAGTGTTTGACTACAAGCCAGTTTTAGTCTAACATAATGTTTTCTTACTAAGTGTTGGTACTTCTTCAAGGTTGTTCTTCACTTTTCTGTTCTTTCTTTATATCATCTCCTTGCAGACTGCATTTTGTCCCTTGGCTTCAACTAGGGGCACCTCTGACATCTCTATCTCAAGACTTCTCCCCGGGCTGCAGACCCAAATATCCAACTGCCTTCAGGACATGCAGTCTCTTGGGATGACTGACTAATGTTAGTCTGGATGCCTAACTCCAGATGGTCCAATGTGACCCCTCCTTCCTCTTCCTCATTCTCCTCCTTCTTCAGTGCCTCCTCTATTGGTGATGAGTGCCACCCTCCACCCAGTCACTCCAGACGACAACCTCCAAGTCATCTTTGACTCTTCACTCTTTCTCCACTCTCTTCGGTATGAAAGTTTGTTACTTTCTGTCCACCTTTTCTACTTGGTGAATTTCTTGAAGGCAGTGCACATGCACTGAACCTCTTGTACCCCCAGCACCTAGCACAATGCAGAGCACATATTAGGTGCTCCATGAACATTTGCTGAGTGAATAAAGGAATAAACAATCTGACCAACCAGCTCAATTGAAATATTTGCACATTCCTCCCTCACCTCAGGTCTGCTTGGCTTGACACAATTATTTTCAAAAACAAACTGAGGCTTCTATCTGTTCCTTAAAAGCAATTAAATGTCACTATATTGGCTTCTAAACAGTAAATATCTTTATACCTGAGATAAACAGCATGTGAACAAGTATATTGCTGCACTGTCCAATATGGCAGCCATTCACCACATGTGGCTACATTAAAACCAAAATTAAAGGAAATTTCACATTTATTTCTTCAGTCACAACAGCCTCATTTCACGTGTGGTAGCTACATGTGGCTATAGCGGCAGATTAAAGAGCATCATTGTCATCACAAAAGGTTCTATTGGACAGTGCTGTATCAAAGGGTGCAATGAGTTTTACTGAACAAGACACTGACTTTGACAACAAAACACTATGAGGTGATGAGGATTTGCTTTAAATCCACTGCTTGGATATCAAGAACGTAATAGTTTTCCAGATTCTTCCATGAATTTATACTTCATGCTTCTCTAGACATCAATATAGATGGCAAACTTCTGACTTGTAATCAGAATGCAAAACAAAATAAGCACATACATGCTAAAAAAGAAAAGCATTAAAGAGTATTTCATACCTAACTAGTCTGTACATGTAAATAATGAATTCAGGCTCAGGACAGGAGACGTAATGGAGGGTTTGCAACCACAAACATTGCTGCCCTTTGGTTAGGAACAGACAGAAACAGAACTTTCCCTTTCTAAATCGCATCAGTTAATTTTCAGAAAGAAAGAAAATGATCAAAGAACACTTTGTTAGCTGTATTTACATGGAAAGAACACCTTCTAATTTTACTAAGAAAAGTACCTGTCTCATTATGTAAAACCTCAAAATGTTACTCTTAAATCGAGCCCTTAATGTTTCTTGCTCTCTCTCTATTTTACATCTTTGCCAAGGTTTGATATTCATTGGTAAAGCACTCAATGTTGCTGAATTACTTTAATGGAAGGTTGTTCTTGGCTCAAAAAACCCATCTACTTATACTTGCTATGTACATGAAACTGTAAATATGAAAAAGATATCCAATGAATACTGTCCTTTCATACATCAATGCAGTATAAACTAAGGTGTTGTTTTGAACTGTTGTGGCAGTAAATATAATCTTAAATGTCTCTCCTTGTTTAACTTAACAGCTGAGATGATCTTATCTAAAGCCAGGTTTCCCTTCTTGGTCACAGGTTGTGACCAAAGTTTAAGAAACTAATTTTCAAGATTACTCTAACCAAAGCTAGTCCATAGGCTCACAGGAGAAACCCGCTACCAACTCCCTGTCTGAAATGGGAAACCTTAGGTCAAGACCCAACCGCATCACTTCCTCCAGGCCCCACGGCATCTCAGCCATCCTTGACAACCGGATTGGTACTAGCATCTCCAGAGCCTACCTCTCCCCAAGTCACTATTCTCCTAAGTGGTCCCCTAGGGATAATGCCTGGAACAGCCTCCTATTTTTCCCATTCCCCAATTTTCACCATTGTGTCCAGCATTCCAGAGCTGCCAAAGGAAGTTGGACAGAATTTGAGGTCGCACAGACTTGGGCTCAAACTTCAGCCCTGACACTTCTTAGCTATGAGCCTTAGAGCAAGTCCTTTAGCTTCCCTGAGCCCCAGCTTCTGAATGTTTAAAGTGAGACTCATAATATGTACCTTGCAGCATTCTTGTAAAGATGAAATTATGTTTGGACAAAGTGCTTTGTAATCTGTACAGTCCAACATGATCATCTCAAATGCCCTCATTAGTCATTCTCCCTTTGATTGCTCCATTCCTCTAAGTTCTTCTCCACTTAAATATATGATTTGGGATGTATAAGACTATAATTTGCTCTAAAATGGCTCTTTTGTGATTTTAATTCTCTCTCCTAGAAAATGTGTTCCACAAAGATGAGTTCTGCGTACGCTACCATTGCTCTATTCCTTCAGAGCCAGCAAGCAGACTCTCCAGGGTTAAGATAAGCAGACTGGGGATCAAGAGGTGCTATTGCTGTAGATCACCCAGACGGTTACTCCTCTGGGCGAGGGTTGGGGGAGGAAGAGAGGTGTTGTGTTGTATGGCTATATGTAGGTGTGCATACAATGCACACTTGTAAAGAGCCCCTGGATCAATGTACAAATTGATCCCTACTAATACAAAATATCTACCCTGCCTTTTAAATATTTCTTCTCTTTCACTGTAACACCTTTTAGTAAATAAATTATTGGAGAATGTCATCTTAATAGACTTACATTATTTGAAGATGAAATTAGTTTATTTGGGGGAAACTTACTGAAAGGCAGATAGGCAAAGGGGATGATTTTGATCAGTTCAGGAAATCAGTAATTTGAAGTGAGTTCCCCATCACCACCCTCAGTTCTAAGGCAACTGTTAACTAACCTTACTCCATACCTCATCTCTAACTGGCAGGGGAAACACTATTTACTGAGTTCCTACCAGGTAGTAGGTATCTTACACATATTACCTCTTTGGATCCTAAAATAACTCAATGGCATGTGTTCTATTATCATCCCCACTTTACAGATGAGGGAGACAAGGCTCCACAAGGTGAATAATATATAAGGTCATAATAAATAACAAAGTCTGAATATAAACCCAGTCTGCCAACTCCTTATACTAGTGAGGGTAATAGTTACATCATCACCATGAGGGTGGAAAGGAGCAATTTGCCATCCTGAAATACGCCTCTTTGTCACAGGGATTATCTTGAGCTGGTTATTCTTTTTTTTTTTCCTTTTTTTAAGAATGTGAATAGCACCAGCTGCACTGCAGCCTTGATTTATTTTTGAG